CGTTCATTGCATCATTTCACACATGAGACGTCTGCGAAGTGCCTCCATGACCTTCAGATCTGCAGCAATTTGTGTTCGGCCTTACTTGCTGATGGCGTTTTTTTTTTTTTTTGTCATTTCTGCCCCATACCATGCTATCTTTTGTACTTTTCAAGTACTGAAACATAGAACAGTAATGGGAACGTCCCCTTTTAAATCTGAAAATTGTATATATCACCACTGGTTTCGTTCGTGCTGCTTGCCGAATTCATTCTTTTGATATTCTGGTATTTTAGTCAAGGAAGCACCCTAAAATCATGTTGCCGCCAATATGACATGGTGCTCGTGCTTTGGCATTGAAAAACAACAGCTTATTCTGCTTCGTGCTTTTAGGTGAGCTGGACAAGCTTTGCGCAGAATACAATGCAAGCAAGACTGTAAGATGAAGTGCGCCTGCGAAAATGTTTTTGACATTACTGAAAAATTTGTACTGAGACTCCCATTATAATAGTTTTCCAACATGATACCAGGCGTTGCACGCGAGTACGCACAATGCCTGGCGAAGAGCGTAAATGTGTGCTTTATTTACGAATTGGCGCATATTTATCTATTCAACGTGCTACCCAGCATTTATTTACCCAATATATTATGTTAGCACTGCCATACTTTCTCAAAAACAAAAATAGAAGGGCCACCTAGGGCGAAAAATTAGTCTTCGCCAAAAGTGTACTTTTCGGTAATGTCTCTTTCCGGGCGATCATCTTAAGGACAGCCATGTTGGATGTATGCTCACGCCACCTATAGGTCGTGAAAGTTGCGAAGAGTGGCTAGAATGGTTTTCCTAGTGTCGTGAACGGGCGCCTTTCAAAGCGGCAAAGAAACCGGATTCTATGCACTGCGACACGGCGCTGTTTGTCGCTGGCGCATTGGCGAGTGACGGGAAGGTTGACGACGGGATGCAGCTGGCCGCAGTAAAACTGCATCCCTGCCACAAAACTGCTTCACGAAGCACTTATTTTAACTGAAGATATTATCACTTATCTTCTCGGCAGGGATAGAAGGATATGAATATAAGAACAAGGAAAATCTGGGCTAGTTGGCGATAGTTCATTTTCGATGACTCACAGCGCAAGAGGGACGCAGACAAAGTATAGGACGACACGAGCTCCGACTTTCAGCTAATGATTTATTAAAAGAAAGGCATGGTTAGCCCGCTTCGACAGAGCTACTACGCAACTTCGAACGAAGTTTGTTCTCTTTGGTTGCTACAAACTTGTTCGAAAAAACCTCTCTGGCTGCTCCAAGCCTGCTTCAAACTGTGTTTCTGTGTGCTCCGCCACAAAATGCACTTTTGCCTGCTCCCAGGACTGCTCCCAAACCAGTCTGTCCTGTTCCACCCCTGTGGCAGGTATGCCACACATTGAAATGTCTGCGCTTTAAACGCTACCCTCAGCTTTCATTGCAGACGTCTGAGGAGGTTCGTCGCACTACATGTGTCAGAGCCCCGAGAAATAGCATGCATGTGCTCATCTTGAACAACAACAAAAAAAGTTTGCAGTTTTGTGCCGTTGCTGTCAAGGCAACGTGCACAGAATACACGAATAGTAGTTATTAGACATTGTTGTTAGTCATTGTCAAGGGAAGTTGCACAGAATACGCGAGTAGTAGCTATTCTTTTTTGCTGGATAGTATGGTTTAGAGGTGGGCAAATGAGGCGGGGATGCAAATCGATATTAGATACAGCAATCCAGATTGGATCAAATTCATTGCAATCCGCTTCCTAAATAGTAAAGTAAGTAAATACATACAAGTCAATCCAATCCAATTCGCATCCTAAGTGGCCTGCACTGTAGTAGGGTGAATGAAATTGGGAGGTGTGAAAACCGGCTGCTACAATCTGACCTCCATTGGCGATCCCGCAGCGGTGGCGCTGTAGTTGGAGATGCTACCAGTTTGCTCGGTGCACGGTTAGTACACTCTCTCATCGACAGGATTTTTTTTTCTTGGGGGGGGGGGGTAGCGAACAAGTGGCTCGTCGAACCTTTGCCTCCCCCCCAAACGTTTTTTCACCATGGCATAGAGAGCGAAAAATAACTATTTCAAAGAGGTTCCCCCCCTCCCCTCGAAAAAATTTCTGGCTATGTGCAAGGGGGGTACAGCCATGCTGCTCATTGTGGCTGGAGGATGGTGTGCACTATCAGGGGCGTGTTGCCTTGGGGGTGGGGGTGGAGGGGGGGTAGTGCTTTTTATAAGTCACGCCTCCCCCTCCGCTGAAGCCCGTACACTTGCGTTGGTTATTGCTAGATTTTCACTGCTGAAAAAGCTTCATCAATGTGATAAACAATTTTATTAATTGACAATGCACTTATGCCACACTGAAGAATAATGGAATTTGTGCGAACGTTTCGGCAGTTCACAAGTCAGACAGCCAGACATAAATAGAGCATCAATCAATGCGGGCTCATTAGTGCGTACTAAACAATCGGAAAAGTAGGGCTGCTCTTGTCACTTCTATGTTTCATGCGGGCACCAGTTTTCCAAAAAATTAGACATAACTCAACCGTCCATAATGTGACCATTCTTCAATTCAATTCTTTTATTCACAAGAAGATATATATATCACTTTTGTTCTTTGGAATGAGCCACTGTTTACATGTTTGGTGAAGGCAAAATTATCTTCATCTTGATAATATTTATCTACACAACTACGGACTAAAAGGCAAGCTTCTTCACACAGGATATTGTTTGACTTCCACAGTTTTATCATTATCACAAGATAAACTTTGATAAATTTATTGTCTTGTGCTATTAATTTTATCTTGATAGTGTGGATAGCCTTGTCCCTTTGTTCCTTACCTTTTAATAAATTTTAACTGACCTTACGCTTGAAGTCATGTCTTCATAGAGTTAGCGTGTTGTCAAACTTGTATAGAAATTGAGTTAGCAATTAGTTTCATGGCTTCAACACAATTTCATTAGCACCGTATTATGATAAAGTACACTACTGGATGTTCATTTTGTTCCTGGGTTAAATTCACACCAAAGAAAAATAATCACTTGATAGTTATGTAAACCGATTTGACCACAGATTTGGCTAATTGCTTAAATGTTCGACACAGCCAATTCCTGCAACACGCTACTCACAGAGCTACAACAAGCTGCCTACTATATTTGAATGCAGGTGTAATGTGCGGAAAAGATGTGTCAGCCCGCTTTACATTATCTGCGTGTGAAGTTCTATAATCACTAGGGTGGGTACAGAAGCCCTTAAATATTCATTTTTCTAGTTACCTAACTTTGCCACTTTTTTGCAATGCATTATATGGGTATGATGCATGCATTTTTTGTTATTTGTGCATACAATATATAAGGTGAGCATCACTAGATGCTGGATGAAAGTGTAATGAACTAAAACAAAGAAAATAGAACGTTCATATGAATGTACTTATCAAAGCAATTGTTCAGTTTTTCAAAAGCTCTACAAAGCATTTAGTGATTTCGCTGCTGGTGCTTGTCATAAATGCACATAAAAACTTTTGCAGCACTTGCTTAGGTTCACTTCATTTAAGTTTAGACAAAATGTTTTTTTTAGATGGACGAATTTTTTTTTAGATGGACGAATTTACCTGTATAACTTTATATGCGTGATGGTAATATGAGCCGGGGTACTCTCATGTACTTTTTATTTCTTTTTGGCCTCATAATAATAAAAAAATAGCTCTACTGGCCTTGGGGATGACAAGCTTGCAAACTGCTAATCTATCATGTCGGCGCATGGAAAAGTGACACCTTTGCCGTGCATGCTCCGTACTCTCAATCACAAAGCCTGACACTAAACGTGCTCCCAGAGTTTTCTTAAATTCGAAAATGGCATTCCTTTCAATGCACACTAACACAAAGTACTCGTAAAGCGTGGAACGCTGACGAAGGTGATAAGCTCCCTTTGCATTGGCACCTACACTACCGTCTCCGCCCCATGTTAGCTGGCAGCGCCTCCGACTATCACGGCATGTTTTGGCCTAGCGGAGAGATCATGTAAGGTGGTGCCTCTGGGCAAAGGAAACACGGTTTGCTTTTCACACCTCCCGATTCTAGCCACCCTAGCTGTAGCCATCATGGTAACTATTAAAGTGAACCGGAATATACTCCAGTGACGGAATTGGCAGGGCTTCCACGTCCTTCTTTTACACAGATGCCGCAAGATCATGCCACTTGTACGTTTTTTAATAGGCTTGACTGCTTTGTCAGACTATCATGGGCTCCTTCAAACTTTCAGTCAGCTGCGGTTCATTTTAGCTCATGTGTTTGCTTGCTGGTTCTTCCGAACATCAGTCAACTTGCTCACTGCTTGGCTCAGAGGTTTTATTTTGGCCAGATATACCTACTTACCAGAACATTCTGAGCGCGTGCAGTAAATATGTGCACCTATTTTGTATGAGCGTCAGATATTTTTTGCCACTTAAGAGTTTGTTTCCAGTGTACAGAGTGTTTCCAGCAGACTTGATGTTCCTGGAATTTGCTTTTAATCATAATGGGAAAACCTGGAAGGTCAGGGAATTGGGAAAAATTGAAATCGTAGACACCCTGATTTTGGCTTTCGTACACGAAGTTTCTTTTTCATTTTTAAGAAAAATGGATCTTAAGCATGCGGTGGACGTGAGGGCTTGCCCTACGGGGTACTACCCTCTGCTTTTAACAAGACTCGTTCCACTATATCACATTCAAATAGTGTTTTTTCCAAAGCAGCCCGAAGCAATGACGTGGCTCTGCGGTAGAACACCTGCTTGCCACGCAAACTGGGTTTGGTTCTCACTTGGAACTGCAAAATCTTAGTTTATTGTGTTGCATATTTTTTCAGTCAGGGACAAGATGATGATTTTTCACTCGCAGCCAATGACACAAATACAAACGCCAGAGTTTCTGGGAAACAAGCTCTTGAAGGATAGACAATGTTTTCATTAATGGTTCTGAGCAGTTAAGGTCTATAAAAATGTTTTTGCTGTTTTGTGTGCTCGTTGCAGACAAATACTCGTCGCAGTTTGGCTCTGGCACTCAGTATGCCTATTACCATGACGAAGACGAGAGCACCTTCCAGCTGGTTGACACGACGCGCATGCACAAGCCGATGCACCAGCGAGGACGCTTCCGCATGAACCAGGTAGACCTCGTTCAGGCACTCATATTGCCTGTCAGTAATGACAACATTGTTGACAGGCTTAAACCACTTCGCATCTAGAAATAACAGCGCGTGCCAGTTGCGCGCGCATATTACTTCACGATGCCTAGGGTCTCAGTTTCCATCATCACTTGGGTCTTTCACACGAGATGGTTTGACAATGTACTGCTAAACTTGGATGCAGTAGAACTTTGATTATACGTCCCCCGATATCATGATGGTCCGCATTTTACGATGAATCAGTTTGGTCCCGGCAAAATCCCCCTACAGATAATGTATCAAAAACCTTGGCTATACGACACAGTTTTACACCGACCCTGCATCTTACAGGGACTTTCAGATTCCGTCCGAAAGAATGAACGACCTTCACTCGAATCATATGTTCACCAAACATTCATGAGTGCAAAATATGTACTTGTATTCCCCTAGGTTGAAGATTAGAAAAGTAAAGAGTGAGATGGAATGTCTTCTTAAATGGAAAATTTATTCTCCTGGAAGTTTAAGCGTTTCTGCATAAGCCTCGATCCCTTGCTTTCTGCTGTACATACCTAATCAAGCTTTATTTACACAAAGTAGCTTCATCCAGCTGAAAAGCTGATGTTTTTACATTTTCAGTCCGCAGAAACTTTTCCTGGTTGACATGCAGCTTAACTCCTGCAATTGTCGCACTCGCAGTCACGGGCTTCACACGCCTAAGGGCGCAACACGACTGTTTTCATCATGCAAAATTTCTTTTACTTGGCGTCAATGTTTATAATAAGAGCGGGACACCACTAGTTCCACTAGTTGCACTTCATAAGGTAACAAATTACAACGCACACAGCTCAGTCCCGCTCGAAGGCATTCTACGCAAACTCGTCCGTCGCCATGATGTGATAGCGATGACACTGTGTCTGACCCTTCGGACGGGTGGCTGTTCTGGTTTTGTTTTCACGCGAAGTCAATTTTTCGACGCTATTTATTGGTAGAAAGATGTCTGTTAGAATAGATTTTTTAAAGGTTGAGAATAAAGATTCACTTGCACTTGCTTCAACTAAGTAATGCTGTCATTAGCTGCCTCTGGCAAGAATAATTTATTCCACCTTCCTAGCAGAGGCGCAAGGTTATGCCATGGGCTCATTCAGGCCTTTTGTACCCGTTTTTGGGGCAAGGCTAGTGTCACTGCCTGTATTCTTAGTTTTTCGATGATACAACGCCCACATTATCGACAGTTTTGCGTGGTACCCTGAAAGTCTTATAATCATGGTTCCACTGTATAATGAAATTGACAAATCCCCCCCCCCCCCGTTTAAATCTTCACTAACAACTTCTTGTTATATGCAGTTGTTATTGCGCGAAAACTGGAAAAAAGAAAGCAAATAAAATGAACAAGAAACTGAATGCGCAGCTCACCCAAAATACTTATTTAGCAGTAAAATGATTATGTTGCTCTATTGCAATGTCTTCTAAGCACCCACTTTCTATCGCCGCGGACTGAGAGGTCATTGGTTCAATTCCTGTGTCTTCCAATTTCACGTAACCCTTTGTTCTTGTTTCTTTCTTTGTATTGTGTTCGTGTACTTTATAACGACATATTTATGATGAAAATGCATCAGGGATGTCTCAGTGGACTCTAGCATAAAACACTTTTCTGATAAAAACTGTTTCAGGGTCCCTTTAATAAAAAAACATTCAAATAAATGCAGTGGAAATGAAAGATCTTGTACTCTTAACATACAGCATTAGCTAGTACCTATTGTTGCGGGAGATCAAACGAGATAGTGAAACCAATTTTAACACTTGTATACAAAGTCCAGGGCTGCTCGAAAAAACACAGGTGAAGAAGAGTTCACAGGACAGGCACAAACCTCAACTGTGAAACGAAAGGCCAAAGCAGCGCAATATGAATGAAGATCAGCCTGACCCATTTCAGTAACACCAAACAACAAATATTTGACGATAGTGATGTGCAGTCTGACAATTATAAGCAAAACCGTGCCTATGTACTCTCCTTCATCCAAGTTTTTTTTTTTTGCGCAGCCCTGCAATATGTGTTTAGGAATGCACCAACTACCCCAAATGAGAGTTTTTTGAAGCAAGACAGGTGCACTACAAAGTTACTCCTTTACCGCTGCTCGAGTTCAAAGCTTGGATCCGAGGTGCTAACGCGCCAGGTTCTCAGCTTTCGGTGATTGTGAAAGGCCCCTTGAATTAGCTTCCTGCCTGGGCCTTGTCTCTGAGACAAATCATAATAGCGCTTTATTGTGCTTCTGTGGCTCCTTTCCTCGCCGCAGCTCTGATCTTGTGGCAGGCGTGTGACGTTAAAAGGAACTGATGACCGCTTTCAGTTGGGGTAGCTTTCTGTGCACGATTTCGTACGGCTGTCACACCAGTATACATCTGAAATAACTGCATGAAGGTGGACATCCCAGTCAGCTTCTTTTTTCTTGTCTACTTTGATATATGGAGCAAGTCTTGGCTAAATACACTTTGATTAGTTCGCTCAGTAAGGCTGTCTGCCTGGGGATAGAATGCAGATGCGTAATGGTGTTGTACACTTGCCTTTGAAAGGTACGCTCGGCTGCGAAGTGTTGTTGCACGGTCTGGTACCAGTTTCTTTGGCAAGCCATGCCTCTGTTCAGATCTGCACTTCAGGGAATTGACCAAACGAACGGATGCAAGGGAAGGCATGGCTGCCACTTCCCCACACTGAGATAGTGCACAGCTGAAATGATGCAGCGGTTTCCAGCAGTGGTGGTTGGGAGCGGCCCTATGAAGTCAATGCCCACCGACTGGTCAGGTATGTGAACAGGTGTTCATGTACCCGACCAGACGGTGGGCACCCCGGCTGCCGCTTGAACTGTTGACATGCTTTGAAACTGGCGGCGTAAGAGCTCATGCTTTGTATTTTTGGCAACCGGAAGTCTTCTTGTAACTTATGAGACATGGCTCATTGTAAGATGTGCTTTCCTTTGAAGTTACTATGAATGGCCCATAACATTTTGGTACGAAAACGTTTCGGAATGGCCAGGAGGTAGCGTTCTCTTGAGGTTTTGCTGCCGCTGACGAAGGCATAGTACATCATTGCATATTGCAAACAATGGATTTATTTCCGTACCTGTTACTGATGCAATGATTATTGCCATGCCCTCCTCCTCCTCTTGGGCAAAATAGATGCTTGCTTCCTTCATTGCACATGAGCGGGTTGCATGACAAGGCATTGGTGATGTTACAGGTCGATCCCAGATATATCGAACTCAAGGGGTGGTCTTGAAATAGTCCGATATATATATACTTTGAAATACAAAATATGCCTATTTAAGGCCTAAATGAAAGCATTGCAGGCCTGGGAAATCGTTACAAGTGCCAACATAACAATTCGTTCACAGTATAATGAAGAACAAGGTGTGAACTGCAAATAACCGCACTTTATTTCACATGAAAAGAATCTGTAAACTTGTCTTGTTTTTTTGCGTTGCGTGCCTCAAGTTCCAGTGATCCTCAATATCATTGAAGCTTTTCAAATAAGCGAATTCAGCTTCTTCAGCCTCAATAGCGTTGATTGACGCACAACGCTGATGTAAGATTAGTAGTGCGGCAGAAGCTTAGTTAGCCGCGGCAGTGAGGAGGGAATATTCATAACCGCACAGGTACACTTCCGCACCACTGGCGACGACAGCCACGATCTCAGCATCGATGCAGTCAGAAACAGCTACGTTGTCATCTGCATCGATAAGGCGCTCACTAACCGGGATGGTGCCTGGAAACGCTGATAAGTCACGGGATTCACCAAGGCATTGTATGCCAGTGGTCATGACGCTCCCAAAGTCATCACCTGGCCTGGAAGGAAAGTTTACGACAGTGATTTACTTGACGTCACTTCAATAACCAGTGATAATTTTTATCACTACGTGCGGGTCAACGTTCAGTTCAACTGAATGAAGATTTATCAGCGAGGCGCGAAAGTGCACAAAACAATGTTGAGTTTCCACAGTCTACTTGTAGGCGATATCAATGTCACTTGTGCCTTTGTAGCGGGCAGCCGCTAATTTCAGCTGCTTTGTTGCAAAAAGTTAGAAAGTGCGTAATCTCCGAGACGTGCGTTTGTAGATGGGAAAAAAAACACCAAAAACACCTCACGAGGTTGCACATCTTGAAGGCCGTGCTTTTCAGGCTCGTGTGGCATGTGCGCTAACAAACAAGGAAGGGATTGCAAACATTGCTACAAGATTGCCAATTTACTTCACATTCTTATTTTGGTGTCCTGGACAGTCGGTATTTTTTGAAAAACACTATGCCCGCGTTTTAAGACTTGCAGATCGTGCATCAAACATACTGGTGCACTCGCCAACGCCGCGCAATGTACCAGAGCAGTGTGATAGAATAATACTGTATTTTCGTAACCTCCGCCCACAAGTGGATCAGAACTTGTTAGAATGCAGTTGAATATTGATCAATATTTGCTAGTAAAAATGTAGTTTTTAGGCTTTGGTGCGGTGCAACGTTCGATATAGCGGATGTCCCGCTGTGTGGGAGTTCGATATGTAAACGCACCGATCCCATACTTTTTGCATAAAGAATTAAGGGGATTTCTCAACTGTTTGTATAGCCAATAGTTCAATATATCTGAGTTTGATATATTCGGGATCGACTGTAGGGGACGGATAAATGCCGCAGCACGATGACGCTTGTTAAAATGGTGGACCGAGCAAACTTATGCTCTTCTTTGAGGGTGACAGTACACCGAGCAAATTTATGGTTGAGGTGTTGCTTAGAAAACATTTAGGTCAAAGCAACATTATCAGTTACCACGGTGAACCTGCACCAGAACAGATAGATAATGGTGGTATTTACCACCCAATACTCTGTCGCACTTCTGTGGTGTTGTGAATGAAGGCAGTGGGTGAGATCTCCGGCAATTGAGAAGACAGGATGGTCGCATGATTTTCGTCTTACATTCCGCGACGTAGTGGCTCGCAGTTAGAGCTTGTCATATATGTAGTTTGTGACATTGTCAGTGGAACCTTGCCAGCGCGATGGCATCTGCGGGAACTGGTTGTCATATGTAGACGAGAGGGGGTGGAAGGCACTCGCTAGGGCTGCACTCCATGGGGTCCTATTTGTGGTTGTGGTTGTCGTAACGATGGCATGGTTTGGCCGAATTGCATAGTCTGCTTACAGCAATCAACACTTTGGCATCGTCAGCCCAAGAATGGTGACGAGCTGATTCATTGTCTTGCAGCCAGCGTCGGGTTGTCTTGAAAACCCCGAAATTCGGGAAGATTGTTAAGAGATATCAGTGGCAGTGCTAGATGTGCCCGGGCTTTTTTGCTCGACGCATTGATGTCTTCAAGAGATGCCATCAGGTTAGAAATAACCTGCTTCATCACGGTAGAGTTGCCACAGGTCGCTCTTGAAGTAGAATTAGGGACCGCTGGGTTAGATGCGGAGGTCGCTTGGGCTGTGGTATGTGAGATAAAGTCCAAGGGAGCATGAACAGCGTTCCTTGGGAAGTAGGCAGTGTTCGTCTGCCAGGCAGTGGTGTAGAAGATCTGAGCTATAAGGACGCCTGCTGATGAGTCAGCTGGTACAGAGGCGGGGTTGGGCTCAGAGTGCTGTAATGGAAGCAGGGGAACACAAAACTGTGTCCACTGCGTAGCACTGTGTGCGACTGCAGTTCATCAGGCAGAGGTCCGTCTACAGGCTACGCCATCGAATGAGGCATCAGGTGTCATCGATTATGCTGCAGGATGCCTCTTGAAGGGTTTGAACAAGCTAGGACCGTGTACGCTGGGCCTATGAAAGCACTGCAAACGTGTCAGTGGCCCACACACAGTCACCAGGACTTGAGAGGGGTCAGCTTGCTTGAAGCCCGACGGCGATTGTAGATATTCACTCTCATTTCGTTTGTTTTTTTATTGAACTATAAAAGGATGCATTGAGGTTGTTGATCGTGTGGCTTGTGCCTGTTTTTCAGCAACGCAACTTGCGCAGTCGTGAACGGCAGAAGCTGGTGCAGCAGCAACAACTCCAGGTGCTCTCAAAGTCGGCCAAAGGTCGCGAACGGTGAGCCACTTTTAAAAATCTTATTTATTTATTTATTTTACCCTCAGGGCCAAGTGGGATTGCAGGGAAAGGAGTTATTACAAAAGAAAAAAAAGTAACTGAACAAAATGCATTGAATACGGTCAGATTGTTCAAATGAATCTGTTGTAATACAGTGAAATCCCGTTCTAACGAACCTCAGATTAACGATTTTTTCAGATTAACGAATATTTCGGAAATCCCCTTCCAAATGTCCATTGGTTCAATGTAAAAATATTTCACTACTACGAATTTCAGAATAACGAATGTTTCAGAATAACGTATCAAATTTTATCACCCTGGTACCTTAAGAGCACTTCAAAATAACGAATTTCTAGCGTAAAAATTACGTGCGGCGGTCTAAATGCCCAGCGCCATATGTGGCACTATCATCATCATCAGAGCTCCTGCTCATTTCTCCATGCGTTGCCTTATGCTAAATGCGCACTAGCCTGGCTAGCCCTATCGCCATCGCCAGTACCTTGTTTTTGATGTTTTTTTTTTTTTGCATGCTCGTTGAGCCAGGTTGAGCCTAACCTCGCCGCCTTTGTTTTGTTACGTCGACCGGCAACGTCGCACGATTGTCGTACGGCTTTCTCGTTTTAAAGGTTAGAGTGATTCGTTTCTGCGTTCGCGATGAGCTCCGGAAGCAGCGCGAAAAAGAAACAGAGGCAGTTTTCTTTGAAAGAAAAAGTGGATATTCTTTCTCAAGTGGACGCCGGTAAAAAACAAATCCACATTGCGAACGAGATGGGGGTTGCACCATCAACTGTCGCAACCATCCTGAAGGACCGACAAAAGATCCTCGAGCTGCACCGAGGGTCCCAACTCGCACCGTCAAGAAAACGGCTCCGACTTGGGAATTTCCAAGAAGTGGATGCTGCAGTACTGGCTTGGTTCAAGGACGCGCGTTCTCAAAGTGTGCCGGTGTCGGGACCCATGCTGCAGGAAAAAGCCCGGCAATTCGCTGATGCTTTGGACATCACAGGCTTCGAAGCAAGCGTGGGGTGGCTTCATAGTTTCCGTGAAAGGAATGGAATCACCTGGCAAGTGGTGTCTGGTGAAGAGAAGGCGGCAGACGCAGCAAGCGCTGCTGCATGGAGGGACGAGAAGTTCCGCGAAATCGTCGCTTCATACTCCGAAGATGATATATTCAATGCGGACGAAATGGCGTTCTTCTATCAAATGCTTCCTGATAAAACCATGCATTTTAAAGGGAACAGCTGCAAAGGCGGCAAGCAGTCCAAAGTCAGGATTACGGTATTGTTATGCTGCAATTCCATAGGCACCAAGAAGCTGAAGCCCTTGGTGATCGGCAAATACAAGAAGCCTCGCTGCATGAGGAACATTGTTTCATTGCCGTGCGATTATCGGGCTAATTCACGCGCGTGGATGACACGAGAGTTATTCTCTGAGTGGCTACTAAAGGTGGACGATGAGATGAGGAGCGCAGGTAGGAAAATCCTGATTATCGCCGACAACTGCTCGGCGCATCTTGTTAATGTCAGGCTGACAAATGTACAGCTGGAATTCTTGCCTCCGAACTGTACGTCCTTGCTCCAGCCACTGGACCAAGGCATCATAAAAAGTGTCAAGGCCCATTACCGGACACGCCTGGTTCAGCGATTGCTGATAAATCTTCGGATGAAGCTGCCTACCTCCATCAATGTGCGACAGGCCACAGAAATGGTTACCGGGGCCTGGTGGAGCGTTACATCAACCACCATCCAGAACTGCTGGAGGAAGGCAGGCTTGGTAGTAATGCCATCTGAATCTGAACAAGGCAGCGAAGAAAGCGACGCGAGTGGCATGTGGCAAGAAGTCGTTGAAAGACTCGCGATGGATGCCTCGGTTACGTTCGAGGACTATGTGCAGTGTGACGACGAAGCATGCACGTCAGCCGAACTGACGACCGATGACATCGTCAGTGCTGTTCGTGGTGATAACAGCGACGAGGACGCCAATGGCGAAGACGACGCTGAGACCGCGCCCGTTAGCCAACCAGAAAAATCGCTTTCCAACGCCGACATCATGGAATGCGTGCGAAAGATGCGCACTTACCTTGGCAGGTGCTGCAATGCCACCGAAGCAGAGCATAAGAATGTGGACAACTTCGAAGCGTTCGTCCTGCGGCAGTTGAGCGGCACCCGCCAGGCCAAGATCACCGACTTTTTCAAATAAACGTGCGCTCATTCCGGAATACTTCGCGTTTTGTTTCTTTTCACGCTCGTCATAAAATCAAGCGTTTGAGGATGTGTACACAGCAAAGGTAGGCGACTCCTTTTGTTGCATTTACGATTTTTAATGCAAATTTTCGATGTTTTCACTATAACAATATTTCAAAATAACGAACTATTTTTTGTGGTCCCTTCAAATTCGTTGTATCGAGATTTCACTGTACAATGTTAGCTAGTGCATCACTGAACAAATGGTTATTGCTAATAGCATCGATGTCACTGGGAAAGTCTGTTCTTTTGCCTTGATGTACGAGCAGAAATTAATTGAAAAAAATTTTTGTGTTGCATGAAGGGATGTCTACTTAATGCTTACTAGATTACAGTGATGCAATTGTTGCGCCACTCTGCGCCAAGACTGGAAACCTGCTACATCCTGCTACATTTCCTCCTTTCTGTGCCAAAAGTGGGCTGAATTACAAAATACTTTTCGAAAAAACGGGCGCAGCCTGTCGCCGGCGACAACGCGAGGTTAGGACTTGGGGTGGCCTGTGATCTTCCTATGTTGCCACGTGGGAGGAAAATCAGTGTCCGGTCGGGGGGGGGGGGGGGGGGATACCACCGCATGCTGATTTATGGGTAGGTGCAGGCAATTGACCCCAGACTGGTGTAAATTAGCGCGACCACCCGAAAACGCACCTTGGATGAGGAGTGGCTTGCCGGTATCCGAGGCTCTGAGCTGATCGTGTTTAGCAGGTGGATAGAAGACAGCCGCACGAAACGGCTAAAAGCTAGAAGGGCAGTGAACTAGCAAACGAGTTAAAAACTTCTTTGTACCACATTGTGAAAGGCCATCACAGACTTGGCACAAATATTAAAAATATTAAAAGGGGACACGGCTTTTGTATCGAGAAATGGCTAAAAAAACTTTTTTTTTTTTTCAAAATCAAGTTTTCAGTTTTTGAACCCTTTTTCTGATTCCAAAATATCTACCCTGAAAACCGCGCAGAAGTGCTTCGGAAAATTCGTTTCACCCTCCTTGGTAGCGCAAATATTTCTGGAAATCTCGAACAAAACAGCGATTTTCAAAAATCTATAGCTTTGCGATGGCGCCGCTGGGAGCCGGCTTGTTGGGCTCTTCTGAGAGTACTTCGCCATGTTCACATTTCTTGCCTCAGCTGGCTCCTCCCTTTACAAACAAGTGCACAAAAAGCAAATCTTGGAAGGTCGTTTTGGCTGTGGTCACCATGTTGCCCCAGCCCGCCTTGCCATTGGCCTGATGCCCACTCTGGGAGATCGTTGTCTGCTTCTTATGCGTCCTGAGGACATAACTGTCGAAAAACGCTACTTTGTGACGTGTTCGTGGCTCAACGATCACTTAGGATATAATTATGCTTTAGTTAGGTACTGCAAGCGGATGCTCGATCAGATTACTACGAGTGGGCGCGAGGTCTACGAGTATGGTGCGTAACCGGAGTAGTCTTCAGGCGTAACTCCGCTGACAGCGAGACGAAGTTTGCGAGCGAGATCGATGCTCTAGCGCACTCGTGAAAATGTGCTTCTGCACAGGTAACGAAGCACATCACTCGCTAGCTTCTTGGAACCGCAGACGGACATTTTACGCGTCAGCAGCCACCCCCACAGTCAAACTCATCAACCCCTCGGGCCACTTGAGCCCGAGCAGTGGCATCCTGGGCGTACTCTGCAACTGTTTGCGTAGTTGATGGGAGAAGAGTCTCGAAGGGTAACGCTGGATGGCAGCCGAATAATAATAAAAGGGGGGAGAAGCCTGCGGTGTCGTGGCGTACCAATTGTATGCAAATGTCACATAAGGCAAAGTACTCTCCCAATCAAGGTGATCTTTAGAAACTTACATGGAGAGCATTGTTGTCAAGGTTCGATTTAGGCACTCGGTAAGACCATTTGTTTGCGGGTGGTAGGCCGTAGCGAGTTTGTGACGCGTCGAACACGAGCAAAGGATGTCACTTACTACTTTTGAAAGAAATGGGCAACCACGATCAGTCAGCAGCTGTCGAGGAGCGCCATGGTGAAGAATTACGTCATGAAGCAAGAAGTCCGCAACGTCAGTGGCACAGCTTGTCGAAAGCGCTCGTGTGATAGCGTATCTTGTAGCGTAGTCAGTAGCTACGGCAATCACTTGTTTCCAGTGAGAGAAGTAGGAAATAGTATAACGAGATCGAGGCCGACGTGGTAGAAGGGGATGGTGGGTATGTCTATTGGTTGGAGCGGACCAGCTGGTGGCAAGATATATTGTTTGGAGCGCTGGTTGGACTAGCAAGCAGCAACATATCGGCGCTCAGAACTCTAAAGGCCTGGCCAGAAGAATCTACGCCGCACGCGATCGTACGTGCGCGTGACCCTGAGATGTCCAGTGGTTGGGGCATTGTGAAGCTGTTCAAGAACAGTGGAATGGAGTGTCGCAGGAACTTTGAGTAGTAGCTCTGGACCCTTGATGCTGGTGTTGCGTCGGTAAAGAGCTGTTCCTTGCGTATGTCGGTGAGAGCAGACATGGTGAAGACACGAGGGTCAGAATCATGTGCTGAAAAGTCTGGTGGGTCCACGGTGTGACGGAATAAACAGTCCGCATCCTGGTTCATTAGATCAGATATGTATGCCACGTCAAAGCTGTATTCTCGGAGTTTCAAGGCCCAATGGCCAAGTCGTCCAGTTGGATCTTTAAGAGACAACAGCCAGCACAAGGCATGGTGATCCGTAATTACAAAAAAAGTGCGACCAAACAAGTATGGTCGGTATTTTCCGACTGCCCAGACTGGTGCGAGGCACTCG